CCCCAAAACCCCAAAACCCCAAAACCCCAAAACCCCTAAAATAGTAAATTTATTGATAATTTAAAATAAGAGACTGCGAGATGTCAGGTACTTTGGGTTTGAATTCATCCATTCCCAATCCCTTGGTTTTGTATTCTAAATAGTATTTGGACAACTTAAACATTTCTTTTGAGTCTTTTCTGTCATATTATGGCATCCTAGAAGTTGGGTTCTAATAGTATAGATTATTCAGAGGACATGGATGACTTTGATCAATTCAGAGAACAGCCGAAGTCGATTGGCAGCAATAAAAGATCTGGAAGAGGAAAGCCTGCCTCAAATATGTATTCTGAGAACTTCAATGAGTTCAACAATAGGTACATTACTTTCTTTGAAAGTTTATGGCAATATATCTTAATTTCATTTCTATTATTTGAATTTGTAAATAATTTTCTCTTTGACAAAATAAAATATCCATGGTAGTATGAATATCACTAGAATCCAAAAGTTTTAGATAAACTGGATAAATGCTTAGCTTCCTTATAGACACTACAAATAACAAAAATGCTAACCAGGAAGATAGTGAACTTGATAGCGATAATAGAAACCATGCTGACAAGTACTCAGATCAATTTTCAGAAGGCAAAGATCACTTAGTAGATTTAAAATTTAATGATTCAGCGTCCTAATGGCCCTAGCAGTCAAAACTCAGAGCCAGATGATTCTAGTGGAAGGAAAGAGAAGATTATAGGTCTTGGAGATACTGATAGCAGTGATCTGTCAGATGGACCACAAAGAGTTGAGCAACCACAAAGAAATGACTACCAAAATTATTCAGAGGATTATTCAGATGACTATCAAAGTAATCCTCAGATGATGAAAAAGCCAATTGATTCTGATGGCCAAGACTCTGCAGGCTTTGGGCAAGGATATATAGATTCTCAACAACATAGAGAAATCTTTGAAGATGATGGGGTAACTCAATCTTATAACACTCTTTAGAATGATGGGTTTCAGCAATATTCATCAAACAATGAAAATAGGATGAACCAAGCTCAAGATTCAGAAAGTAAGCACTCTTCTCCTAATATTTCAGGGTTCGATAAAGATTCAGAGGGTTATTCTATGGACCATCACCAAAACCAGATCGACGTAAGCTTACCAAGCATTGTTTTTAGGAACAAGAGGATTATAAGTACCATAAGCAATCTTCTCAAGGTATTTTTATTGATGCAATTTATTTAATAGAAAATATCAGAGACATTGGAGATTTAATGAAACTTGACCAGGAAAGTCAACCTCCTGAGGATTCAGAATATTCAGAGGAAGGGCAAGGTATTAAGTTTATTCAAGACAACAATCAGCAAAATTACAGTCAACCTGATTCAGATAATTATACCAGTGAGGCTGATGAAAATGAGCAAAATGGAATCCAGTTTATCGAAGATAATAAGAATTATAATATGAATGGTGCCATTCAAGGCCTCTCTGAATCTGAAGGGCATCCAGATGATCAATCTGATAAGGCTGATGAAAAATCTGAAGGCGGGTTAGGAAATATCCATGGAATTAGCGATCTTCCCTCTTCTAATAAATCTTCTAAAAATGTGAAAGAGTCTTCAGAGAGTCAAAAGTCTAGTGATAGTGCTAAGCCAGGTTATGCTAAGAAATTTACAGGCAAAATAATGGGGCTTGATAGTGATGAAGATGATTCTGACCAGAAGCCTCCTAAATCTTCAGTTTTAGAGGAGGATAACCCTCCTCCTCCCGATTCTGATGCAAAATATTCTGATGAATACTTTGACCAAGATGAAGATTATCTTGAGCCAGAGAATAAAGACTATGTTCAAGGTATTTATGTAGTTTAACATTTAGAACTTCCAGAGAGGTCAGACCTTGAGCCTCAATCAGAGGAAAACTATGAAGAAGATGATTTCATCAATGAAGAAGCCCTTGGCATCGAAGTTATTGAAGATGAGGAGGATGATGATGACTATTCAGATGATAACTTTGAGAAAGCTCTTGAAGATGCAGAGCCTATTAAGAGGAGTACAGCCAGTGCTTCAAATCGTCCCTTTTCGAAAAAATATATAAATACTCCTGGTAGTAGCCGTAATTTAGACAGCTCAAAGATCGATTTGAAGTACAAAATTCAAGAGTCAAAGGAATTTGAGGAAGAAAGTCCCAGAGAATTAATCGATGAAAAGAAAATCACAGAAGACCCTCTTCAAGAGAACATCAAAGATACTCTTCAGCCTAGCGAAGAGGTTAAAAATACAATTGAGGTAATCAAAAAAGAGAAGAAAAAGAAGAAACCTAAAGAAAAATCTCAGAAAGTTAGCACAATTGAGAAGCAAGTAGTTGATGAGAAACCTACAAAAGAATTAAAGAAATCTCCTCTAAAGAGTAAACCAAAGGAGCCTAAGATATCAAAGGATGAGGCACCCAAAGTTGAAAAGAAGAAAGTTAAAGACAAAATTCCAAAGGTGAGGAATTCTATGCAAGGGAAGTTAAAAGCAAGTCCAAAGTTGAAGAATAAACCAAAAGCATTGGTCAACAAGGTATTTTTAATATTTCATCATTAGAAAGCATCTCCAGAGAGCACGAGGCTTAAGGAGCAAAGGAAGAAGAGTTTAATGACTCATATTGTCAAACCAAAGAGAAGAAGGATTCTTAAAGTGAAGAGTTCAGATAAAACAAGGAAGAGAAAGTCTCCTCAGAATTTTGAAGTTGCTCAGACTGATAACCAGCCAGATTCTCCTAGTGAGAGTGGAAGTAGTATTAATTCACAGAAGAACAAGTCTAATCTTGATCAGCTTAAGAAGGATCTTGACGAAGAATCTGGCAAGAAGGGTTTTTTGATAAGAATGAACATTGAAAGCAAAAATCTCAAGAAGTAGGGGTTCTCATTAATTATAGGATTGATAAAGAATGAATAACACATGGCTTTAGATTCAGACCTTCTAATAAAATAAACAGAGTAAGATGCATGCTTAATTTTCAGAAATCATCCCAGAAAATTGGGAAATCTAGTAAAAGAAATACTCAAAAGCATGGTCTGTATAACAGGAACAGAGGGCTATTGAAGGCATCAAATAGAGGACACAGTTCTCTCAATAGGAACCACTGAGGAATTAGGAAGAATAAAATGGCTAAGAATAAAGGAAGAATGCTTATATCTAGAGCTAAAGATAGAGATCAGACAGATAAGAAATTTTTAGCTCTTAGTCAACAGATCGTTGCATCTGATCAGGAGGAAAGAGTGAATACGGAAGGGATTCCAACAATTCCTGCAGATAGCTATCAGAATAGGCCTTTTACAACTGCATATGGCCAAAGGACTCTAAATAGTGCTCATCCAAACAATTACTCAAATGGGAGATTGATGACTAGGCAGCAGAAGTTTAGAAATAAGCGAAGCCCCCACTCTATTGAAAAAGGGAGGTTCCGTGGAGCCCAGAAGATGAACCGTTCTGACCGTCTCGCCTCCTTAGATACCTTTAAAACTAAGAAATACTCATCTAACCAAGCTGTGTATCGGGAGAATGATGTTAGAGGACTTAAAATTGCAGACTACTTTAAAGGGATGAACAGACTGAATAGGTATGTGATTAAATCAAAAGAAAGGTTCCGCCGGGCCCATCATCAAGGGTTTTATAAGAAAAAGAATACTCTTATTAGTTCATACAAATAAGTCTTTATTGAACGTCAGAGAAATTTTTGATTTTGTGCAAAGACAAGCACAAAACATACAGGTTGAAGATGCTGATACAGAAGCAATAGTGGTTCATGAAAAGAATAAGAAAGATGATCACCTCAACGAAAAGGCAAAGTGGAAGATCATAATGGACTATATGAAGAAGAATCCAAAGACTCTAGTAGATGCTCTTCCAGACCCTGAAGGAGAAGTCCACCATACAATGTACATTCCTGCCTACGAACCAATGCCAGAGCAGACCAATTCTCCGGTGGAAATGAACATTGCGAATATTTCAGAATTAGCCGGGCCTAAGTTTGGTAACTCTTCAGAAGCAAATCTTTACCAGAACAATGAGAAGGATGCGTTGAGTCTGAACTCTCAGGACAGGAAGTCCTACGACCACAAGATCGATAACATTCATATTGTGGCCAAGCAAAACAGACTCCATGATTATGAAGCAGCTCATGAGTAGGTACTAAAGTCGGCCTATGATAGTGCAAGAAAATGGGAATCAGAAGGAGTTAAGCACAGTTTTCGCTTAAATTCAATAGCCTTGAAGTTTAAGGGGTTTTGGGGTTTTGGGGTTTTGGGGTTTTGGGG